TGCCTTTGGCTCAGGTCATGGTCCCAGGGTCCTGGGATCAAGTCCTGTGTTGGGCTTCTTGCTCGGTGGGGAGCCTGCTTCTCCCTCTGTCTGCCATTCCCCCTGCTCGTGCTTGCTCTCTCTCTCTCTGACAAATAAATAAATATAATCTAAAAAACCTTTTTTTAGTTTTTAAAATTTAGATTAAATTTAAGGCCTACATTTATTGCTATCATTTAATTACTGCTTGCTTTCTAAGCAGTGTAGAGCAAGAAGTTTTAAATGGAGAAAGTGTCATAATCAGAATCTTGTTGCAATGTAATTTTTTAATTAATTAATTAATTTATTTTAAAAGATTTTATTTATTTATTTGACAGAGAGAGAGAGACAGTGAGAGAGGGAACACAAGCAGGGTGAATGGAAAAGGGAGAAGCAGGCTTCCCGCCAAGCAGGGAGCCTGATATCGGGCTAATCCCAGGACCCTGGGATCATGACGTGAGCTGAAGGCAGATGCTTAATGACTGAGCCACCCAGGCGCCCCTGTAGTTTTTGTTTTTTAAAGAATTTATTTTTAAGTAATCTGTACACTGAGCGTGGGGCTCGAACTCATAGTCCTGAGATTAAGAGTTGCGTGTTCTACTGACTGAATGAGCCAGGTGCCCCTTTTGCAATATACTTGAATTCAACCAACTAATATTTAATGGTACTCTAGCTATAGCATTCATATTAAATGTTTCTTATATATCTGACCCTTAAGCTTTCTTCAAATCTCACTGCATTTATTTGCTTGGGTGTGTGTGTCCTAGATGTACTGCCCATATTCTCAACAACCTTGTTTTAATATCTGTCCATCAATCAACAAAATCAGAATGGGAATTTTGTTTGATCAAATGGAGCTACTGAAGTGAAGATAGTGTTTATATTTTAAAGGCCACCTTTCATGGGTGGCCTTTAATATTTAGGACAAAATTAATTTTGGTTGAATATATTAGTTATTAGGTGATTCTGTGTATTATATAGGATATTCCCAGGATTGGTTCCTTTATCATGCCTTTTAATGTTTCCAAATTATTAGTTCTATCTAATGAGGTTATGAGACAGAGAAGGGAGGAGTTGTGAAGAGGATAGGGAAAAAGCATAGAAATATTGAAGGAAAATGTTTGGATCCCTTCTCAATTCAAGATCATTTGAAATGAAGACCGATCACTTAGTGAGAAAATATTTGATTTACAGTTCTTCAGGTATGCATTCTAATGTATACTTCTGCACACAGAACTGTATATGCAACTCCTTTGCTTAAACCAAACATTCTTGCAAGACACTAATAACTAACTTTGTGGTGGGTGGTGAGATGGTAGATTCTGAGTCACACAGCGCAATTTCTGGAGAGTCGATAATACTTCTGTGTACAATACAGATTTGACTGTAAGGGGCCAGCCAATACAATATGGTCAGAAACCATTAAGGAGTAGTATTAACAGAGTATGATGATTGCAAACTTTCTTGAGCTGTGGGCATATAGACTTTAGTGCTAGTTGATCAGAGTAGAACATGTGCTGCTTTGGGATTAGTCTTCTACACCTAGGTAAAACATAGCTCAATAGTTTTCCTTTCAGTTTTTTTTTCCCCTGAAAAATGTATTGGCTAAAAGAAAGACCGCCAAGTTTTTTGTACTTCTAGAGTGTATCTTTGAGAACAATTGTAGAAAAACCAATATAAGAAAAGTTGTGGCAGGTACAGGGAGGGAAACTTTTAATTTTGCTTTTTGGTATTTGTCTCAGTTATGTAAGTTGAGATGAAAAAAAGAAATGACCTTTCCTGGCAGTGGAAATACTCTTGAGTTATAATGAATATGACATTGACATTTGGCCAAGGCTCTTTGGGAAATACAAAATAGCTCCAGTATAGTGCAGCTCCTTTCCTTAGAGCTTATCTTTTGGTAACGGAGATAAGGCAAACAGTTTCATACTTCGGGTCAGAAAAATGTAAGAGTATAAAAATATGAGGGGTGCCTGAGTGGCTCAATTAGTTGAGCATCCTCTACTCTTGCTTTTGGCTCAGGTCATGATGTCAGGGTCATGAGATCAAGCCTAACATGGGGCTCTGTGCTCATCGTGGAGTCTGCTTGAGATTGTCTTTTTCCCTCTCCCTCTGCCCTCCCCCCACCTCTGCTCACACTCTCTCTCTCCCTAATAAATCGTAAAAAAAAAAAATATAAAAATATGAAAACATAAATATGCCACAGCCTATACTTTAAAAAAAAATAACTTTATTGAAAATAAAAAAAACAGCTTTATTGAGATACAATTCACATATCATACAATTCAGCCATTTCAGTGGTTTTTATCATGCTCACATAATTGTGCAGTTATCAGCAATCAACTTTAGTACATCTTCATACCCCAAAAGAAAACTATACCCATGTAACCACATGGCGACTATAGTTAGTGATACTGTATTGCATATTTGAAGGTTGCTAAGAGAGTAGATCTTTAAAGTTCTCATAATGGAAAAAATTTTTTGTAATTATATATGGTGACAGATGTCAATTAGCCTTATATGGTGAGCATTTTGCAATATATACAAATAGGGAATCATGTTGTACACCTGAAACTCATAATGTTGTATGTCAGTTATACCTCAATTAAAAATAAACAAAACACCATACCTATTAGCAGTCACTCCCCAGCCATAGTCAGTAACTAGTCGATTTTCTGTCTCTGTTTGCATATTCTGGACATTTCAAATGAATAGAATCATATAAAGTGGTATTTTGTAACTGGCTTCTTTGACTTCACACAAGCTTTGTTCATGTTGTAGTATGTATCAGTACTTTATTCCTTTAAATTGCGAAATAATGTTCCATTTTATGGATGTACTAAATTTATCCATTCATTAGTTGATAGACATTTATCCATTCATTAATTGATAGACATTTGGATTGTTCCATTTTTTGGCTGTTATGAATAGCCCAGTACTAGCATTATGAACATTTATGTACAAACTTTTATGTGGATCTAGTTTATCACTTCTAATAAAATATATAATATAATATAATACAATATATCTCTTAGATAATATATACCCAGGAGTGGAATTGACAGGTCATATGCCAGCTCTCTGTTTAACCTTTTGAGGAACTGCTAGACTGTTTTGCAAAGCAACTACACCATTTACATTCCCATCAATAATGTATGAAGGTTCCAATCTCTCCATATCCTCCCTAACACTTGTTATTATCTGTCTTTTTGACAGTCGTTATGCCTGTGGGTGTGAAGTGGTATCTTACTGTACTTCTAATTTACATTTCCCAATGTGTAATGATTTTGAGCATCTCTTTGCTTATTGGCCATTTTTGTATCTTTTTTTGGAGAGAGGTCTACTCAGATCCATTGCCCATTTAAAAATTGGATTGTCTTTTTATTATTGACTTGTAAGAATTCTTGATGTTTCCCGATACAAGTCCCTTATTAGATACATAATTTACAAATTATTTACAGATTTGTTCGATTCTGTGGGTTGTCATTTTACTCTCTTGACAGCGTCCTTTGAAGTACAAAAGTTTTTCGTTTTGATGCTGTCCAATTTATCTATTTTTTATTGTTTTTTTTAAAGGTTTTTATTTATTTATTTGACACACAGAGAGAGAGAGAGATCACAAGTAGGCAGAGAGGAAGAGAGAGAGGGGGAAGCAGACTCTCTGCTGAGCAAAGAGCCCAATGTGGGGCTCGATCCCAGGACCCTGAGATCATGACCTGAATCAAAGGCAGAGGCTTAACCCACTGAGCCACCCAGGTGCCCCTATTTTTTTTTTTTTATTGTTGCTTGAGCTTTTAGTGTCTGAGAAATCATTACCTAAGCCAACATCATGTGAGTTTACCCTTATGTTTTCTTCTAAGAGTTTTATGGTTTTAGCTCTTACACATTTATGTCTGTGATCTTTTGGAATTAATTTTTATGTATGGTCTTCATTCTCTTTGCATGTGGATATCCACTTGTCCCACCGCCATTTTCTGAGAAGACTGTAATTTTCCCACTGGATAGTCTTGTCAAAATCTTTGGCCATAAATGTGACAGTAGCTTTCAGGACTGTCTGTGTCCTATATGCCTGTCCTTCTGTCCTTACAGTAGTATAGCACCGTCTTGACTATGTAGCTTTGTGGTTAAGTTTGACATTGGTGAGTGTGGTCTTTCTACTTTGTTCTTTTTAAAGAACATTTGGTTGTTCTGGGTCTCATGCATTTCCATACAGATTTAGGATCAGCTTGGTTAAAAAAAAAAAAAAGAAAAGGTTACCATGGGATTTTGATAGGGATTACCTTGAATCTTGTAGACCAATTTGGATGTATTTCCATCTTAATAGTATTAAGTCTTTCAGTTCATGAATGTGAAATAACTTTCCATTTATTTAAATGTTGAATTTCTTTCAATAGTGTTTTGGAATTTTTATTGTACAAGTCTTGTACTTATTTTAAATTTATTTCGAAGTAGCTAAGTTTTTTTAATGCTATTATAAATTGTTTTCTTAACTCCATTTCTGGGTTTTTTATTGCTGGTGTATAGAAGTACAACTGATTAGTGTATGCTGGTCTTATATCTTTGCAAGATTTGTTTATTCTAGTAGTTTTTAAATGGATTCCTTAGGATTTTCTATGTACAAGATGATATTGTAAATGGAGATAGTTTTACTTCATTCTTTTCAATCTGGGTCCTTTTTATTTGTTTATCTTGCCTAACTGCCCTGACCAGAACTTCTAGAACAATGTTGAATAGAAACTGTAGCCATAGAACTTCCTTGTCTTATTCCTAATGTTCCAGGGTAAGCCTCTAAGGTAAACCACTAAGCATGACATTGGCTGCAGGTTTTTGTATATGTCCTTTATCAGGTTGAGAAGTTCCCTTTTATTCCTAGTTTGTTGAGTGTTTTTATCGTGAAGGAGTATTGTGTTTTTCTCAAATGATTTTTCTGAAGTAAATAACTTTAAAAATAACCATTTTCTCGGTTTCTTTTTTCTCTACAGAAATTGACTTGCATACCAAATGTGTGGTGGAGGTAGATGCAAACAAGGTTATACTTAGTCCTGTAAATACTAATCTTTCCAAAGGAGATGCCCGGTAAGTTAAGAAACAGTATTATGTTCAATGGATTTCTAAATGACTGAAAACCACAATGGCTACTAAGCTGAGTTCAGCTTAGGAGATAACAAATGCTTTCATTACTGTGTAGAGACATAGCTGTCGAGTCAAAGAGGTGAGGTCTGTAATATGGAATGACTAAGTGCCAGAACAAGTGTTGTAGATGGCAATTGTATCAGAAGCTCAGAGAAGAGAGCTTTAGGTTAGAAGGTGGAGTAACTGAGGAAGCCTTCTTGAAGGACACAGTACCAGCTAGAAGATTATTAGTAAGATGTAGATGGGAGAAAGTAGGGTAGAAGAGAAGACCTTTAGGTTGTTTCTCAGTTTTGGTTGTTTTTACTTCTGCCGCTTCGAATCCTGTTAGAGCCCATTTCAGGTGCTCCTTCCTCCTCGGGGCATTCCTCCATTTTCAGGATTCCCTTCCTCTAAATCCTGTAAACTGTGGTCTGTATTACCTAACGGAATTAATATGCATTGTATTGGATTGCTGCTTGTGGCTCTAAAGTGGATTTTAAGGTCTTGGAGGGAAGAGCCTCTCTGTCAGGGGTTGAAGATGAATCACTTCTGGATTTGGATGATAGTATGAACAAAAGGAAGGGCCAGAAAGTGTAAAGAAAGCGAATTTGGGGAAGAAACCAGAGATTCATTTGTTTTTCCTCAGCAAGCGCATGGGAGTTAATTTAATCAAACAGGCTAGGTTCAGATTACAGAAGACCTTGAAAGCCGATAAGGGAATTTGACCTATATTTTTATGGTAAGATGTCATCTTTGACAAGTTTTTTAACATGGTTAAGGGAGTGGATTAGGAAAAGTCATTTGGCCGTGTAGAGAGAATGGTTGCAACTGGGGAAAGACTGGCTTTTTAAAGAGATCAGCTTGATTTCAGAGATGTTTTTCTACTGACCCTGGAAGTAAATTACACAAATTAGAGAGACAGTACCTTCCATGGTGCTTTGCATGAAGTAGATACTTAAACTTGTAGAGACAATGTTGTGTATGGAAATACATACAGAAGGCACTCCATAAATGTTGTTTCAGGTTGAGTCATTGAGTTGAAAGGGTGTTAGACTTGGAGTCAGAAAATCTTAAATCAAACCCTTACTTATCTATGTTGTTTTTAAGTAGTAGCTTTTAAACTAGTAGCTAGTTATTTTTAACTTTTTGAGTCTTATCTGTATGGTATATGCCTTACCAATCTCAAAGAAGTGTTTTCTGAAGATCAAATTATTGTTAAAATGTTTTGTAAAGTGCTCTGTAATTGTTGGGACTTACCGTCTTTGATGTAGACCTATTTCATAAGTATCACTAGGTTATGGGTACTATCAGATATGAAGTTATTAGAGCGTAAAGGGTGTAGATGTGTCAAAAGTAATGCTAGGATTTTGAGCTTGCTGATTGAATGATCTATTGTTCTGAGTATTAACTGAAATTACTAATATTGGAGGCTGTTTATTGCTCTTGGAATTTTAATTCTGGAGGTTGTTGCTTTATTTGGAGATGGGTTACCTCTGGAAAACTTGGAGGCAATATCCTTCGGTAGGACGATTGTAGGCTTTACCTGTAGACTGACTTGGATTCAAATTCTGGCTTTGCCACTTGGTAGTGTGGTTACCTACCTGTGTTCCTTATTTATAAAGTGTTTCAGTTTTCTAAGTTTTATATTGCTGCATAACCAGTTATCTTTGGAAGCTTATTGGGCTTAAGGCAATAGTGATCATTTATTATCTCATGGTCTCTGTGGGCCTGGAATTCAGACAGGGATGGCTTGTCGCTGCCTCATGCTGTCTGGGGCATAGCTAGAAGACTTGAAGATTGGGGATTGGAATCATCTGGAGAAGGGTGGGTCACCCAGATCTGGTGGTTGATGCTGCCTGTTGGCTGGAGGTGTAGCTGAGGCAGTAGGCAGAATACCTGCTCACCATCTGGCAGGTTCCAAGGACAGGTGTCTTGAGAGAGCAAGAAAGCCGGGTGAAAGTAGCATTGCCTTTTATGTCCTAACCTTGGGAGTCACCCAGTATCTTCTTGTCATCTTTTCTTACTCAAGGCTGATCTAAAGCTCTAAACAATTTCCAGAAGAGAAAATATAGGCTCATCTGTAATGGAGGAGCATCAGTGTCACATAAGAAAAGCCTTTGGGGTGGGATATGTGTTATTATGGCTGCCCTTGGAAAATACAATCTGCCACAAGTGTGTGATAGTATTTACCTGATAAAGTTGTTGTGAGAATAAAATGACAACGTGAAAGCTGAAAAATATATTTTCTTTCCTTTTGAGGTCTTTAAATCTCAGGGGTATATGAAAGAATTAAATAGCTGTTCTTGGTTCTATAGAGTATCTTGGATAGCTCTTTTTTCCATATGCTGCAGATACAAATTGAATATCATTCAGTGCTGTACAGGGTTCGATAAAAAACTTTAAAAAATTACAACTTCCAATAAGGTTGGTATGTTGTGGGTTTTGATGAAGTAAAGTTAAGCACAGATTTTTAAAAAACAGCTTTTATAGAGTGAAGTGTATTTAGCTTGATGAATTTTCATAAGTTGAACATAACTCCTGTAAGTGGCACCCAGATAGAAACCAAGAACATTGCTGGGGTCCTTGCCTGGCCCATTTGGAAAAACATGTGACTCTTGATCTCTGGGTTGTGAGTTCAAGCCCCACATTGGGTGTAGACGTTACTAAAAAATATAAATAGACTTAAAAAAAAAAAAAGAACATTGTTAGTATAATAAAAGATTGCCTTTTGAGAAGTGCTTTTCCTTTTAATATGCTATCAAGGTGAAAAGAGAAAATAGAAATTTTGGAATGTAGCAGTCCAGTGGTACAGGTTGGCTTCATTAAATGTGAAGAAAAATTGGAAGAAAACACAAATTAAAACTATTTTATATGATATGAGGTTAATTACAGTCTAGTTTGTAGGATGACTAATCCATAAAACAAGTTATGTTTTATAGGAGCTATATAATGAGAGAGTTAAGAATTTAGAGTTAACATGTAAGTGATTTGAGTCATTTTAAATTAGTAGTCACGGGACGCCTGGGTGGCTCAGTTGGTTAAGCGGCTGCCTTTGGCTCAGGTCATGATCCCGGAGACCTGGGATCGAGTCCCACATCGGGCTCCTTGCTCGGCAGGGAGCCTGCTTCGCCCTCTACCTCTGCCTGCCACTCTGCCTGTGCTCGCGCGCTCTCTCTCTCTGACTAATAAATAAATAAAATCTTTAAAAAAAAATAAATTAGTAGTCAGAAAAGCTAAAATTAATATTTTTTCTTTAAAAGCTATAAAATCCATGTTTCTAGAATAGTATCCAATTAATCTAAAACCATGACTAATTTTATATGTGTACTTACAACTCAAGTTAGTATACTTTGAAAGTGGACATATGTACATTTAAAATAATGGTTTATATATTTTTCTGATTAATTTTGTATTAATTTCTGACAGTTTCATGATTTGATGTTTGTGCTTATTAAAACTAATAGAAGCCATGGTTAAATGAGTGGGTAAACCATTTCTAGTTTAATAGCTTAATCATGAGGATTTGGGAAACATTTCTTGCTCTGCTATATATGGAATTCCAAAACTGTTCTGAAAAATAAGATGCTTAAAAATCAGAAAACTGGTAACACAAGGCTAAGAGATTAAGAATCCTGACTTTGGAGCCAGAAATCCTGGATTGAATATCACTTTCACCACTTAACCATGTATGCTATGGAGCAGGTTACTTAATTTCCTCTGCCTCAGTTTATTCATTGGTAAAGAGGAGATGATAATAGTACCTTTCTGTAGGTTGTTATGACAATTAAAACAAGTTAAAATATGTAAAATGGCAGTGCCTGGTATACAGTAAACCTTATATAAATGTTAGTTATTACTTTAAATATTACTATTAGAAATGGGTTGTATTTGTGATGTTTGGTAAGCTGTAATATACTTTCATAAAGGAAGTAAAATTTTTTAAACCAAAATACATTCAGTTCAATACTAGAGTGTGCATACTTATCAAAAAGTTATCTGGTTCTAGGAGTGCCTGGGTGGCTCAGTTGTTTGGATGTCCAACTATTGATTTCTTCGTAACTGGTGCTGGTTTCAGGGTCATGAGATTGAGCCCACTGTTGGGCTCTGCCGTGAGTTCAGAACCTGCTTAAGATTCTCTCCCTCTCCCTCAGCCCCTCCTTCCCAACCCCCCACCCCACATGTCCTCTCTCAAAAATAAAAAATTTTAAAAATAAGAAAAATTAGTTCTGTAAAAATTTCAGCTTTACAAAGTCAAAAACTTAATTTTATGTTTGCCCCAAATTGATGGGGGCTCTTAAGGAATAACATGCCATGTGTTAGAGAGCTATGACCCCTAATTTGATGTTTACAGTGAATAAAATATCAACTGACTTGGGAAACCAGGTCAAAACATTGATTTAGCATAGGGTGAGAACAAAGGGACATTTATCAAATAGGGAAAAGATTAAGGACAAAGTCTATTTTAAGAAACTCTGGTCAAATGCTTCAGACTGATAGACTCGCATCCACCAGATCCATCTTTTTCTTACGTGTGGAGTACTAGCTACACACTCCTAAGTTTACTGTATATTTCCTTCTGTTGTACCACACCGCTTAGACTACTAGTACAATTATATGTCTTTTTGAAATTACTTTTTTGCCCTGCATCAGCTTAGTTTTCCAGATTGGTCCTTGGGATTTTTCAGATCTTCATCAGTGACATGTTTACAAATTATCTTTTAGGGCTGAGAAATGACCAATTCATTCATTCATTCTATTTTTAGTAGATTTTTGCAAGTGTAATTCTCAACATTGGAATCTTTGCATTTAGGAGCACTTTAAGTCCCTTTTGTAACTAGTTATAAGTAATACCATGGTATAGAACAGTCCCCCCCCCCCCCGCCTTTTAAAGTTTATTTATATAAGTAATCTCTGCACCCAGCGTGGAGCTTGAACTCACAACCCCAAGATCAAGAGTTGCACAC